TTTTATAATTATAGTTCTGTAACTTGAGTTTTATATTTCGAAAAAAACCTTGATAAACTATAACTTATAAAACCTTTATCTTTTGTATGATTATTTATTTTATTATTATTATTATTCATGAAATATAAATATTAAAATATTTGTGATTATATTTTTCATACTACTAACTTTTTAAGATATTTTTTATTTTTTCTATATATATATATATATATATATATTATATTTAGTTATTTCAAAACATATAAACTGTAATAATTATTTTATATTATTTTTTCTTTTTATATTTGATAAAAAAATATTATATTATAAGTAATAATACCAAAACTAATTATGATAAAAAATTTGTTTATATATAATATAAACATATTATTTGATAACCCTATAATAAAATATAATACTTCTTTTTAAAATTATGAATGTTGAAAATAAACAATCGTAAGTTAAATTTAAAAAAAAACTGAAAAGAATATGTAAAAAAATTATTATTTTATATTTAAGAAAAAAATTTATAAATAATTTATTAATAACATTTTTTATATAAATTACTGTGTTGGAAAAGAGTTGCAAGTTAAAAATAGTTTATTTTCATTAGGGACGCCACCTGCACTTGGTCCGTGACTTACATTTTCAAACCATTATACAATAATTATATAGTAAGAAATCTGCTTCCATTTTCAGTTCATTTTTTTATCACACAATTTTTTTTTCATAAAACACAATTTATTAACATTGTTTAGAAATAGTACATTGATAAAAAATAAAAACAAAAGAATATATATAAAAAACTATATCCTTTTGTGACAAATGTTCAGAATGTGGTGTAAAAATCTTATCTTGATAATAATATCTACTTCTGAATTATCTTCTTTCATGATATAAAATATGTGACATAAGAATAATGAGATCTTATAGTAAAAGGGACTTTGAATTGATAAAGCAGACACTTACTTTTAAACCCACTTTAGTTATCAATAGATAATTTTGCATGAGCAAAAGAAAAAATATATTTTGACATTTAATATTATTATTTAAAAAAACATTTTATTTTTCACATAAAAACGACCCTAATTTTTGATAATTTCTATAAAAAAATTAACTATGTTTTATTTTTTTATTTTCTTTCGTACTAAAATATTATTTTTATAAAATATACATAAATTTAAAACACTTATAATAAAACATAAAAAAGCTATAAACACAGATTCCATAAGCTATCAGAGAATTAAAAAAGTGTAATAACTAAGTGGAGTTGATAAAAAAATGGAAGATGAAGAAACTTTAACGATAAATGTGTAAGTAAGTGTACTTATTATCATTGATTTAGAAGAAGAGTGAGATTTGAATTAGGGCATAAATATATGACAAATGTGTACCCTCAGCTTTGATGCATGTTCTGATTTGGTGACTTTATTGAAAAAGATGAAAGTGAAAAATGAAGGCAATGATGACAGAATATTTCACACTGAGATTGTTATGCGTTTGGCCCCCCGCTTTCTGATGTCTATACATGAATCCTCAACATATCATTTCTCTCTCTGGTTTTATTATTATTATATAACTTACCAAAAGTAACTCAAATTTCTTTTTTTTATTACTGTATTTTACATATATAAATTATATTTTTGTACTTTTGATTAATTGTTTTTTAAATATTAAAACACTTAAAAATGTTAGATATAATCCTGTTTCGAAAGCTGGATCTGGTGGATTCAAATGATGTAACAGATAATTTTGATTTATTGCTTTAAAATAATTATATATATAATTAAATTGGTGAAATTGAAGAAAAAAATCAACTGAATTTTGAATCAAATGAACTATTTTTGATAAAAAAATTAAGAAGTTATTTTTAAAAAAATTTCAATATAATTGTTTAAAAAATATATAATAAAATAAAAAATTTTCTTTATTTTATATTAATCATATTATTTTATTATATTTTTTTTAATTATAATTTGTTTTTATTGTTTATTATATTTTATATTTATAATATTTATTATAATTTTGATGATTATAATAATAATAATTTTATTTTTTTAATTATTATTCTTAATAAATTTATTATATTTATTATATTATAAAAATATTATTTTATTAAATTTAATTGAATTTGATTAAAATTTTAAACATTAAAATTCATACATTTCTTAAATGATAAGTCAAATTTTACAAACATTCAATATAATAATAAAATTTTTAAATATTTCTGCGTTATAAATAAAATCCAAAAAATATTTTTTTAAAACTAGTTTGAATGAAAGTAGATATTATAATTCATTGAGAGAGGGTGTTATTGTGATGATTCCTAGCTAGAAATTGAAAATAAGCATGTTATTACCAAATAATTTTATAATAAAATTAATTACAACTTAATATTTATATTTTAAGCAATCTAAGTCGTAGCTTTTTTAATTAATTATTTTATTTATATTTTTTAAAATTTAAGATAACAGTGTTATTATTTTACAATTATATATTTACTTTTACTAAAATTTTAACTATTATTTATCATAAAATTAAAGACAGATAATAAGAATAATTAATGATAAAAAAAGTAATCAATAAAAATACTCAAATAACAATATAATGAAAATGAATTATAATTTTATTAAGTTGAAAATATATAATATAATTCTGAATTGCTTTGCCAAAATTGTAAATTTCGATTAATGAATTAGGATAATAATTTTAATATTGAATTAATTTATTAAATAATTCTTTCAAATTTAAGTTAAAACTGTAAAATATATAAACAATGTTGTTTAAAAATTTTAATAAAAAAATTCAAATATCCTAAATTCGTTTTAAATTTTGAATTATTTTTTGAAGAGGTTTAGATAATGATTCACCAACAACAATAATAATATGTAAAAAAAGTAATCAATTTCAAGGATATGAAAATATTTTCACAAAATTTCTAAACTGATTTCATTCTACTCAAATTTACATCTAATTTTATTCAATCAATCTTCATTAAATTATTTTATTGAAAAAAATTATTTATGTACCTGATATGAATTATATGACTCAATAATGAAAAAGACTTATAAAAATCTATCATATTTTAGGGGTTTATGATGTATAAATCTTCATATATAGAGATATTGTGATTTGTCATTAAAAAAAAAAACAAGAAATTTAATTGGTGAAAATTGAATCAAAATATAAAAATATACAAGATTTTCACGATTTCAAGAAAAATAAAATAGAAATCAAAATATGAAAGATATAGTAATTTCATGAAAAAAAAAAAAAAAAGATAAGTGCAAAAGAAATACATGTAGAGATTCGATAAGTTTGAAAAAAATATGATACAAATAAAAAGTCTTATGTAGGTTAAATGGGGAAGATTGAAGAGTGAGGTGGTGTTAATATACAAACAAATCAAGACTCTTATTATTATAATTTTTTTTTCATAGTTTAATGTACAAACATAATTCTTATTATTTCATAAAATATTTTATACTTTATTTTAAAATAATAAATTACAATTTTTAATTTTTTTATTTATATAAAATTTTGAAAAATAAACTAATAAAATAATTATTTCTTTATATATATAATGTTTTTCTAATTTTCTTTGATATATCCCTTTCTTTACATATTTTTACTCCTTGTCTTATATTAATTACTCTCTTATTGTAATCTATACTCTTCACCAAGATGTCACACAACAAGTATAGAAATCTACTAGGCTAACACACCACATCTAAGTGTACAGAATATGCTGTAACAAGAATAAAGTTGAAAAAGTATCACCAGAATGTGACTTCTATAATCAAAGTTAAAACACAATGTTCTTAAGCTTGAATGATTTCTCTTCAATCTTTGAGCATCAATAGAAATGAGAGTTTTTGTACAGTTCTTGAAAATTTTGAAGTTCTCTTTGGATTTACTCACTAGATCCATTTAGAAAATATGAGTTTAATGAATATATAAATATTTTTTATGATTTTAATTATATATATATATCTAACAAATAACTGATTATTTTAAATGAATAATAAATTATTTATATTTTAATATATTTATAAATATTATATCATTTAAAAATTGAGATTAATAGTAATTTATATTTTTTAAAGATATTTTTTATAAATAAATAAAATTATAGAACATTGATGTGTATCAATGAATAAAAAAAATAATTGATACGAGAGTTATGATATTAGGAAAACATTTTTTTATAAGACAAATTAAAATGTTGAGTGAATAATCAATTAAAATGTTATAAAGTGAATTTTTGAAAATTTCAAACATATTAAGTTTACAAACATACAATACAGATGAAAAGATCATTCAAATTAGAACATTATCAAATATCTAATGGGTTATTTTCATCGTTAAAGGATAAAGTTCTGAAATCAGTTGAATTTTATATTAAATAAAAATAAAAAAATTAAACGAGATATAAGTAGGAGAAAAATATAAATCTAATATCTAAAAATTTGAATACTACGTGATATTTTAAAATATGATTCACAACCTTAGAAATATTCACTTCCTCAATCTTATAAATAATTTCATTTCACATCACATACTAATAAATACATTAGTACTCAAATCCTTCCACGTATTCTAGTCTATTGTTATTCTCATTTTTATAAAAATTATAGAAAAAATTAAAAAATGTGTAAAAAGGTATTTTATTTTTAAAATAAAAGAAAAATATTTTATCTATTTATAATACTTTTTTTATTATATTTATTAATATTATTTTGAATTATTACATGATAAAAAGCACATATATTATAAATGTAATAAACGACACTCACTCCAATCTTCTTGAGTACAAGATACTAAACTATAGCTTCAACGTGAGCTGTTTTATTATATTATATTGTATTTCCACATAGTTCTTCTTCTGTACACAAGTTTCTCTCTTTCATCTCATTCTTTCCCCTCTCAAACTTACATCCTCTCTTTCCATTATCTGACCAAACGAAAACCCTTCAGGAGTTGATAGGCCTACATTTTGATGATATTTCAGAGGAGCAAGAATGGTCAACAAGGGGATTCCAAAGCACGAGAAGATACCAAAGAACCTATGCACACAGCTAGCTGTTGCAGTGAGAAGCATTCAGTGGAGCTATGGGATCTTCTGGGCACCTTCCACCACTGAAGAAAGGTACAAACACACAAATCTTGGTCTTTTGTTGTGTTTTGCTGGTAATTGCTACCAGTATGCCTCTTTTCTCCAAGCTTCACTTCTTATTGGTTAACTCTTGAGTCCCAAATTTTGATTAGTGAAAAAACTAACATGGAAGTGAGCAAGAGAATGATGTGAATGATATGAAGATTTTATGTCAAGTAGGTCTCGTCACCTACAAAGAGGATGTGTATGAACTGACACAAAATTGTTCTAGATAAGTTGTGTTGAGCTAAGTTCAGTGTATACAGCTGAGTTCAGCACTTTAAAAAGGAAAAAGCTTGTATTACTATTTATAGAAAGTAAGTGTATAACAACAAGCATAAAATTGTTTCAGTTTAACCGACTATTTTGATTTGAAATTCTATCTATATACAGCTACATTAAGTATTTTGAGGGAAAAACTTGGTAACCATAATGTTTTTATCTAGTTCCAACATGATAGTCTGTTGTGAAGAATCTGGCTAAACTTAAAACATAGGCACTTGATATTGCTACTTAACTTACCCTATTTTATGTTCATGTGTGAAAGGGTGCTGGAATGGAGGGAAGGGTACTACAATGGAGACATTAAGACAAGAAAGACAGTTCAAGCCATGGAATTGGAAATGAAGCCTGATAAAATAGGCCTGCAGAGGAGTGAGCAACTGAAGGAACTATACAAGTTTCTTCTTGCAGGTGAAGCTGATCCACACACCAAAAGGCCTTCTGCTGCATTAGCTCCAGAAGACCTCTCAGATTTGGAGTGGTATTACTTGGTTTGCATGTCCTTTGTTTTCAATCACAATCAAAGGTACCATTATAACCATATCATACCACACTCTTATAGTTGGTTCATTAGTACAAACTCTTCTATAAGGAAGTTCTTTGATTAACCCATCAAGTTTTTGTGGCTCTTTTTCTCTAGATTTTTTTTCTTTTTTGTCTAACCAAGGGAGCTTTTCCTTTCTCTGTCATGTAGTTTGCCTGGAAGAGCACTGGAAACTGGTGACACAATCTGGTTATGCGATGCTCAACACGCAGACAGTAAAATTTTCTCTCGTTCTTTGCTAGCAAAGGTTGGATTTTACTCATACATTTGTTTCCATCAACACACTAACTTGCTACTTTTCTAATATATTTTTAACTCTCTTATTTAAGGAATATTACTCATAGCTTTTAATAAACTATAGTTATCAGTAAAAAGATTGTGTTATTTTTCCACTACATGGACACGTTGCTTCAAAAGGAGTAATGTATGGACACGAATCCTCTTCAATTCAAAAAACCATGAGAGTGTCACCGAATCCATATACTTTAAATATTGAATTTATTATTATTAAAGTTAATTAAAGAATGGAATTTCATGCAGAGTATTAAAGAAACTGCAGACGATCTTTGTCTGTAATGTATCCCACTGTAACAGATTCTTCAATCAGAGAAGTGACTGCATGAAATCTTAGCCATCCAAAATAAGTTTTTGAATAATAAAAATCTGCATAAAGTATAAGTAAAAGTTTTTGGCCATTGGATTGTTACTGCAAACAGTTGCTTTATGACAGTAGGGAACCTTGGTCACATCTGAAAGTGGTCCTTATAACAGCTGTATTTTATCAGTTATTTTCCCCTATTTTTATCTTTTGAAAATCCATCATGCTGATTTGGGTCCCATTTTAATCAATTAGCTCCCTCAAAACTATGCAAATTATAAAAATAATTCTAAAGTAAACTGATTTATATTTCATTTTTTTTAACTCAGTAAGTTTAGTTAAATCAATGGTAATTTTAATTTGTTACAATCAAATATATATATATATTTTTTTGTTAATTTTTCAAACAAAAATGTGTGAATTTGACATAAAGTTTCGTCGGAGGGAAGTGAATTAATATAAGCCCCACGTTGCTCGCTACTTCGAAAGGAAGAGACGTGCGAATATCCATAAAAAGCTGCTGTAATTAAAAAATCAAGGATTTTTTATTTTATCTAGTGACATAAATATGATTTTTTTATTTAATATATATATGCTTTTTCAAATTATTGATCTAAATTTAATTTTGGTCACTATATGCTTTTTCAAATTATTGATCTAAATTTAATTTTGGCCATTTATTTTATTCAATGTAATTTTGGTCTCCTCACAAATAGATACATTTTGACTTTCTACTTTAAAAAATAGTCTAATTTTTTTTTTATGTTTCATTTTTATTTCTGGTATAATTGAATCTTATTGTTCTAACATATTTCTTAAAGATATCATAAATATTGTTTAATTAATTAAAATTTTAAAATAAATACACAAAATTTATGAATTTGATAAAAGTTACAGATTTTTTTAAAATAAATTACAGATTAAACAAAACTGTATAATATATATATACTTCATTTTGTAAAGAGTTATATACAAAATACTAATTTTTCTTTATCTTCAACAACTTTTGCATTTGGACATGGACATCGATTGCTGAATCCAGAGTGCATCAATTCAGGTATGACATTCTCTCTAGAGATTCAAAAAAAATTTCTTTATCTAAAGACACTTTATTCTGGTTATATTATGCAATCGAAGTTGAAAATATATTTGTAATTTGTACAAGAGGAAGTTCATTTTCTGTCATTTTTTTCTCCCAAAATTAAGGTCTCTTGAATGCAAGTACTATGTAAATTTGAACCTAATTGAGTAAAAGGTTACTTAGTTAGAATCTCATGTGACTGAAACGATGATACTAACGTTTATGCTGTGTGTTAAACCTGTTCTCCACAGACCGTGGTATGTTTTCCCTATCAGAAAGGTGTTATTGAGATAGGCACAACTGAACTGGTAACATTTGTGTTCTTCTTCCGAAAGCTAGTTTCATTATCGTTTCAACGTTCAATCTATCTGAAGATATGCAGCGCTAACTTTATGATGTTTGTAAACACTGTTACTCTTTGTTTTTCATAGGTTACTGAGGACCCTAATCTCATTCAACATGTCAAGGCTTGCTTCTTAGAAATCTCAAAGCCTACATGCTCTGATAAATCTTCCTCTGTGCTTGATAAGCCTCATGATGACAAATATCCCACATGTACCAAGGGTGACCACAGGGTGTTGGATACAATGGCTTTGGAAAATCCATGTTCCCTTGAAGAAAAAATCAAATTTGATCATGATCCCATCAATGAATTACAAGATGATAACAATGAAGATTCTCACATGGATTCTCCCGATGGTTGTGAGCACCATTACCCTATGAAATCCATGATTGAGGGTATCAATGGTGTGCCCTCTCAAGTTCATTTTGTGAATGATGCCTTAGTCATTGGTGCTCCTGATTCCCTGAGTTCCTGTGATTGTATGTCTGAAGCTTCTGAGAACCAAGGCAAGGATTCCAAGAATGAAGGCCAAACTAAACTTATGGAACTTCAAGATTGCTATAAACCAAAGAGAAGCTTCTTGGATGCTGGAGCTGATGAAGACTTGTGCTACATTAGAACCCTTTGTTCTATTTTGGGAAATTCATCAACTTTTAAACCAAACCCTTATACCAGCAAATCAAATTGCAAATCTAGTTTTGCAAAATGGAGGAAAGGGAGAGTTTCTGAAAGGAAGAGGTCAAAGTTTCACCAAAGCATGTTAAAGAAGACTTTGTTTAAGGTCCCCTTTATGCACAGAAGTTACTTTTCTCTCAAGTCACAGAAAGAGAATAGCAGAATGGAATGGACTAGTAAATTGGAAAATGCTGATAATGGTTTCATGGGGAAAACATTCTCTGATAAGAAAAGAGAAACTAAAAACTTTCAGGCTGTCAAATCTTTGGCTCCATCTTTTATAAGTGAGGTATTTACTTGTCATCTGCAAAAAACTAATTTACCACAGGATAGTGAATATTATATCAATGATGTCACTTTCTAAATACTGTCATGCAGGAGGAGAAGATTTCAATTCTTGGGGACACAATCAAGTACTTGAAAAAGCTTGAGACTAGAGTGGAAGAGTTAGAATCTTACATGGAAGTTGCAGATCCTGAAGCAAGAACCAGAAGAAAATGCCCTGATGTTCTAGAACAGATGTCAGATAACTACGGAACCAGAAAAATTTGCATGGGAATGAAACCTTGGATGAGCAAGAGAAAGGCAAGTGTTATTGATGAGATAGACACAGAGCTAGAAAGAATTGTTTCTGAAGAAGCAAAGGCTTTGGATGTGAAAGTCAATGTGAAGGAGCAAGAGGTTCTTATTGAGATGAAATGTCCTTACAGGGAATACATACTCTATGATATCATGGATACCATTAACAACCTACATTTAGATGCTCACACAGTTGAATCATCAACAAGTGATGGTGTTCTCTCATTGACACTTAAATCTAAGGTTTGTCGTGCTCATTTTTTCATCAAAACATGAATGCAATGATGTGACAGTATCAAGTTAAATGTAATAAGAAGTTCAAAATTTTGATAAAGTCTTTTAGTAATTATGAAAATTTTCACTCGGAGGACAATTTTTCTTAACACTTTTAACCATTAGAGAAGTTTGAACTGTTTTAATCTTTTGTTTTCCAGTTTCGTGGAGCAGCAACAGCACCAATGAGGATGATCAAAGAAGCACTATGGAAAGCATCTGGAAATATTTGACATGCATATTTGGATTTCTCGTGATGATATTAGTAATGGTAAATACTTAAATATGATTAAACAACTTTGTAACTGTAGAACATTTATTTGCTTGCTAACAGAATATGTTTTTCTTGTGGTATGAACCTTGATTTTTGTTTTTGTAATTTAACTTTCTGTGATTTTTGAATCACTTCAAGCACTCTGTTAGCATGCATTTGCATGATTTTGTTAATGTAAGGTTTCAATTTGATCAAGATGGTGCTTGAAAATCTTTTCTATGCATTCCAATTACATCCTTGTGATGTTCTTAGGATATTATATAAATATTTCGATATATATATATATATATATATATATATATATATATATATATAATAATAATAATATAATGAAAAAAAAAACTAAAAAACAAAATTATCGTTTATTTGATCCATTTGGTGTGGATTTGGTTTCTCATTGTTCATTAGTTTATAATTCTTAGTCTTGGCATCAACTTGTTTATTTACAATATCTTGTTCTACTCCTGTGGTGCAATCTTTAACTATCTATAATATTATTTAGCGTGCAAATTATGATTATATAATTTTTAAGAAAAATTCTCAATCATTGAAGATGACAACCTAACTTAATCAATGCTGTGCAATTTTCTTAGTGTGAAGAAATGATGTATTTTTATCAATAATTAATCTTTATTAAAAAATTTAAATAATTATCTTTTTGTTATATTTTTTTCATTTACAAATATAAGATAAAATAATTATGTTAATTTAGCTTAGCTCATCAAATTAAGTAGGTTAGATCGATCAATTAAGTTTTAATTGAATATCATTAAACCCATTTAGTCTTACATTAGTTATTTTTAAAAAGTTAATATCAATTTAAACCATAAATAAACTAATTTGATCCAATTCACCAATATATAACTAATAAAAATATGATCTATCTAAATGTTAAATCGAATTAAGTTAGGTTAATTTAAGTTAATTCATTTCACATGTGAGTCTAAATTCATTTGATTTCAATCCAATTGATCATATTTTATTATATTTTTTAGTTCTTAAAATGTAGACTAAATAAATATCTTGAGTCCCTAAAAAAATGATTTTTCATCCCTTAAATTTAGTAAAATATAATTTTAGTCCCTCAATTTTTTTTTCATTCCTTAAATTTAATAAAATATATTTTTGGTTTCTAAATACTAAATTTGAAATATCAATAATAATTTTTAAAAACTCATTTTACTCTTAAACCTACTATTTAGGATTACAAATTTTAGAGACTAAAATTATAATTAAACTAGTTATTAACGGGTTAATATATATTAAATGTAGGTGTATAGTTGGCTTTATATACTTTGGTCTTGTCTTTAGTGTCATTCTTCAGATACTTTGTGTATCCTTTGCTCATAACCAACATATGATGTTATTCTATTTTCTCAACCAATCTTTTGGGAAGTTGATGGCTTAATCATAAATTCACAACTAAGATCTCTCTATGTATCATCCAATTATTGATTTCTAATTATGTTTTTTTTTTTTTATTTCTACAGTTCAACACCATCATATAAATAAATAATATTTTTTTTATAGACATGATCTATCATTATTTTAAGGTTATTTTTTCTATCAATCTAATTTGATTGAAAAGTAAGTAAAATCTAAAAAAAATAAAAAATTCATTAAACATAGAATTTGGACAAGACTAAAATTATTTAATCTTAAATTGGTTCATTGATTATGTTACTTGTATTTAAATATTTGATTAAAATGTTATTTATTTAGAATAACGTATTGTGAACAACTGCCAAAATAATGAATTAATAATTGTGATCACACATCCCATGAGAGGACAAAACTAAAGGATAACCATAAAACAAAAATTGTTGAGGAGAAGCAAATAAAATAATTAGGGTTCCATCATTATATTGTGTGATGGTGAAGAAAGAGAAAGAGATAGGAATATAATATTATGGTATGATGATTACTGAGTATCGTGAAGCATGTGATATGGCTGGTTAGAATGTAACGATAATACAAATCAAAATCAATGGAACCCTAATCTTATAAGCATCAAATCAAGGGGAAAAAGATTCTCTAGAAAAGCAAAAGTTACCAAGTTATGACCATTCAAGATGCTTCTCTATAAACATTGTAATGATTATAAAGTGATTTTCTTTACATGATTAAGGTTAAGGTCATGTCATTTGGAAATTGAGAAGAAAGACAAGCTGATAAGAATTTTCGAGGATTTTGCCCCCAAATTTGAGAAGAATGAAAAAAAAAATTAAGAATTTGTTTTTTTGGTGTAAAGATTTAATTTTATTTTTCTCTTCCTACGAAGAAATTTGTCTAAACATTATTAATACAGTAGTAATAGAAATTAAAATAATGTTTTAAATGTGTAATTTATATATTATATTAATTCATATTAAGTTAAAAGTAATAACTTTAGAAAGTAAAATAATAAATCTTTTACGTGATGATAGGTTAAAAGTTTTGATAATTAAAATTAAAGATAATTTATATATATTCTTATTTTTTAATTTATTGAGTAGTTTTAAAATAATTAAAAAAAGTTATAAAACAGATAATACGTAAAATTAACTTTAATAATATTATTAAAAGAGACTTGAGATAAAAATATTATTGTATTTATAAAAAAATAATTATTATAGAAAAGTATTTAAAAACTAATATTTATAAAATTAATGTAACAATAATATTTTGTCAAATATCTTATAATAATATAATATTGATGTGCTTTTTAACATGATTATTATTTATTAAGAGAAGCAAAGTTAATTTGAAATATTTTGTCTGATTCCGCTCTTTTAAAAAAAATTAAAAATAATAAATAAAATCATTGTACTTTTTACTTATTTTTAATTTATTGAAACAACCTTATTTTTTATTTATTTTATTTTTTTACTCTCATTTTCATTCTATTATTCAATCTTTCAATTTGTATAACTTCTCAGTTCAACAAGTCAAGAGTTAAGTTGACTCACTGGATTGGTGCTTCTTTTCTTAGATTTTTTTTTTTAGATTTTGTTAAATATTATTTTATTAAATATAATATTATGGATTTTATGTTTTTTTTAATGTATATTTATTTAACTCATAACAATAGTTTTTAAAAAAGAACACGTGTAGAGACAATTTAGAAGAATAACATTAATGTATTATGATATTATGTTTGAATCAATTAATTAATTAATTTGATAGCCTTATAAGCTATTCATTTTTATTTTTAAATACTCAATTAATTCAATTCAACACAATCTTAAAATAGTTCTAATCCAATATCTTTATTAGAGTTTTTTTTAGCAGTATCAAACACTGAAATTGTCCAAAATTCAGATGAATTAAACTCAACTCCTCTGCACATTTCAGTTCTCCAAACACAAGTATAGATTATAGATTCATTGCCATTGGTAAAACCCTAGAAAATTTTCAGTGCATGCAAAGGAAGGTTTTCTGTGACTAACAATTGTACACGTATTTGGTAGAGGACTGATATGATTGTTTGCTCAATAAATGCTATGTGCATCCAACCAAAGAACAACAAGAACAGAACAAATTATTTGAAGACCAGCAAAGTCTCTCTGTCTAATTATTTTATATACCAAGAGCACCATAAATATTGTAAGTCACAGCAAACGTAAATTATTATGTGTGATGACTTGATTTTTCAATTTGTATAGTAATCATTTACAGTTGAGACCTGATTCCAGCAAAATCCTTAACTGTATAACCAACCTTTTCAAACCTTCCTCTTTGGTTGTTCTCTCTGAATTTCAAGTATTCTGAGCACACAAATGGATTGTACATCCTCTTGGTTCCTTCTCCAACAACTTCATCTGGTGCCATGACCACCTTCTCATCCTCAAAGCACCAAAAGAAAGCCAAGGAAAACCTGTTCACAGACTGCTTCAAAACAACTCTATGTTCTGAAGACCTTAGTCTATCATTGCTCCATGCTTGCATCATATCCCCTATGTTCACCACTAGGGTCCCCTCAGAAGGGCTTATGTCTATCCACTTTCCCTCATGTGATTTCACTTGAAGCCCTCCTATTTCATCTTGGTATAAGATGGTGATACAACTCATATCAGTGTGCATTCCAAGCCCCTCAACTTGATCCTTCAAACTTTCTGGAGCAGAATAGTTGTTTATCCTCAGGTAACCTTGGCACTTGTTGAATTCAGAATCATAAAACAGGTTATCAAAGCCATCCTCTAAGCTCATCAACACAAGCTTTAGAATTTTCTCAGACAAATCAGCCATCTTACTACAATATTCTTGCAGTGTCTCACTATTCAAATCATAAAAGGAAACAAGATTATGCTTCGGGTAGATAAAACAGAAGGATACATTAGGCATCATAAAAAGTATAACAATGTGCTTATTATACATTACCTGAATTTGGAACTCTGTTTGTCAAAGAGGATGTCTTCAGAACTCTTAGCAGAACCATAGAAGTTTGGTCCATTAATTCTGAGGCTCTCAAAGAACGGAGAAGCAATGAAGTGAGGGGTGTAAGACTTTATAGAGGAGAAAGGACCAAGTTTAAGTTTAGCCTCAGTGGGGAGGCTGAAGAGGTATTTGGATAAATAATGGATCTGGCTGCAAAGATCTTTGGAGATCCCATGATTGATTATGTGGAAAAATCCCCAATCTTTGCAGGCTTTAGAGAGAGAGGTTAGAGAAGATGGCTGTAATGGCTGAGAAATGTCTAAAATAGGAAGCTCAACAACATATTCAGACTTAGACATCATGTCTAAGATGTGGAGAAGAGATATGGTATGCTGCCACCAAAGTATTTGAGATATTTAATATATAGAAGTTTGGTCAGAACCTTTAAATCAAAAGACAGGTATATAAGACAGAGTATAGATAAGACAATTCTATTATTTTTATCAATCAAGTGGAGAAGTGCCAACAAAGATATAGAGCATAAAGCTAAAGCAAAACTAACTTCTTGGGGCTTTGCTTAGAGTCAAAAGGAATTAGGATATAGAAGAGACTAATCAGTATATGCTGGGATTAATTATAAATTAACACGAGTGTTAAGTATGCTGATTTTAACCTATTATAAGATAATTGTTAACAGTGTAAAAGAAATTAAATCTCATAAAAGAATGATTGTGGCTGGAAAATTAATGATTGGCCTAAACATAATGGTAATATAAAGCTAACATGCTATGATCATGACTTATTGAAAAGGCTCTAAATAAAAGGCTATATCTACAAGGATTTGAATAAACATATACCTATCCTGTCACCAAAAGTGCATACACTTTTTCTCACCCTCTTGTGGAATTTCTTCCTTCATATAGTTACCACAAATGAAGGTTGGTATAATTCGGATATAAATGAGAGAGAAAGTGATCAAGGGATAACAAGAAAAGGGTAAGCAGAGAGACTAATGGAAGATGAAGATGTTGCAGAATGAAGGTATTTTTTTTTCATTTGTTTTGTTCCCACTTTCTTATTATAATATATGCATTCAGAGTCAGAAAGACAGGCTGTGAAGCAAGCATCTCAACCACAATGAGTTTGTATATTCCGTTATGCATGGTATACTCTCTTTCTTCTGTGAAAAGATTTGACTAAATACTTGGTCAAAATGTGCATCTAGGTGCTTAAAGTAAAAGACAAACATATCAACAAAGTATAAACCATATAGACGCTTTTAGCGGCTATACATTTGTCAACTTCAGACATGAATACAATACAACGTGTTCACAAGAACATCATGCACATGTCATCACCTAAAGAACTATTAACTTAACAATTGTTTGGTACTGTGCAAAAAATATTTGATCTAAAACATCTGTGAAACGTGCTCAGAGGGAATTAATGTATCAAAATAGACATACATGAGGTTTAACTCATTTATTCCATGCTCATATTCTGTAGACACTAATACAATGATGCATGAAGTTTGAAGTTTTGTACCCTTTTAAAGAATCAAATTATAGTATTATAGTTTAAGTGTCTGGAGATGACTTTTTTGTTCTTGTTTTAATATTTGTGCTTCCAAACTTGTGTATTGAAACATGGACACCAACATAGGAATGTAGTGTTTATACATTTCCTGAAGAATCATATTATAGTTTGTATATGTTTGGAGATGGTTACATTTTTCCTTCTTGCTGATATGTGTGCTTCCAAATTGTAGATTATCCCAACCATGCTTTTGGTTACTCAAGATTGATGCAGATAGAGACATTCTGACTTCCAAAACCAGAAAACAGTGAGAAAGTGATTTCTAGGACCAGAAAGAAAGGATTAACTTAGGAAGAAAGATGGTCGTTGAATCATCATGGTATTCAAACAAGGTGCAAGATATACAGAATCTTGGCATTAGATTGCAGTGGGTTTATTATGATTGCATTGCATCATTCATATCCAAAAAAGGTGCTTTTTGATTTTCACTTACCACTAACGTGTTTCCTTTCTGTTTGTTAGTCGCTTTTGGTTCCAATTAATGCTTCCGGCAGTCCCTCGTGGCTTAAACAACAAAGTGGGAAATCTTTCTGGTGGGAGAAAAAGTACTTTCTGGTTAAGATATATAATATATTTAAAAATGGTCAAGGAAAATCTTTTGTTATTAGGTTTGATGAAAATAAAAAAATTAAGTAATAATAAATTAGATTTAAAGTATATATAACAATGTTCAAGGATTTTTTAAATGTTGTTTATCATACAAAACTTGTGTGTGTTATGCTTGCTTAAAACATTAAGATATTTTCTTTTGAATATACTACATGTTGATAAACATTTGCACGATTTTGAAGTACGTAGGTGAAATGCTTCATAAACATCTTGCTTCATTTAAAAAGATAAAAATAAGAATCAAAATGTGATAAAAAAAATAAAAAAAATAGAAATAAAAACTAAATATTGAATATGAAAGTAATAAATATATCACAAAATAAAAAGAAAATCATTAAACAAAAAATGTGACACTTTTTACATTTTTGAAAAGCAAAATTTTTCTGAAAAAAATAAATAAATAAATGTTAGCACACAAACTATTAGTTATAGTAGGTAGTTAAGTAAACAAAGATATCTAAAAATAAAATTGTTAAATAGTTTTTTTTTCTTTTTTCTTTTTTGAGTTTAATTACTATTTTAATGTCAATTTAGTTTTAAAAATAAAATAATATTATCCTTTTCTTTTTTATCGATGTTGTTGAATTGTTTAACATCATATCAATATCAGCGTTACTTTAACAAGTACAATTATATCAACTCTGTGTCTTTTGGAAGAATAAATATTAACTTAACTGGGATTAAATTAACAATAATAATAATAATAGGATAGAATTAATGAAAAAAAACTATTTAAAATAAAAATTATGGTAAAAAAACCCATATTAGTTGCATCTGTTAACATACAAAACTAACTAATTAATGTGTGCTTGGGTACTAACTACCATTCAGTGATCTGCAACACATTGAGCATGGCACTATGTCTCAATATAGAAGAAAAGTTTTAGTTATCATGTAGTAGTTGCTAACTTTCCATTGGTCACCATATATACCTATATCAAATATGAAGTTAATCTCTACTTATATGCACAGTTTGTCCACTTTTGCCCAACTCTTATGCGTCTCTAAGTTGGATTTAGGTAAACAACTTCATAAAATACTTATTTTTAATGAGTATTTAATCAAAGTGCTTTTTATTTATCCAAATGCATACTTTATTATCGATTAAAATGTACAAAAGATAATGAAAAGGTCTCCCTTTTCATTTCGAAAATTAATTTATAGTGAAAGTTTTATATTTCAGATTGTATAATCTTATAAAGTTAGGAGTATAAACTGATACTGTTGAGATGTAAGGAATAAATAGTTCAAGAGAAGAGCAACTGATAAGAACCAAAGAAGCAAATAGTGCTTTATTAAGTTTTGCTAGGAAGAAATATTTCATGGAGGTGTCTTTTTGAACACCATATGACCTGAATCATCCACATCAAACAAACGTCCAACAAAATCATTCCAACTTTGTGTTCGTTTCTTATGAGACAAGGAGGAACCTTGACTTGATCTTCCAGAATCCTCTCCAACATCAATTTCATGAAATGTTCCGTATGATGAAGGGGAGTATGCTTGTGGAATATCCAAAGCAACTGCCCTCTGAAGGGCTGCATGGTACTCTTCACTGTGTTCTCGAGCTATGGATTCATGCCTCTCCATCCTCTGCTTTGCTGGAATCTCCATATGCTCATCTTTATCTCGCATTAACTGATGCAAGAAATACAATGGTTTAAATGGCATACATTACTCTTTCAATGTAGATAGATGATAATGCACATGAATTCACAGAAAATACCATATATCAAACAACATCAACAAAAGGATTAACCCAAGTTCGGATGGGATTAATTCCAGGAAAACAATCAATTATTTTTTTCTCATGTTCTATCAGAAAGATGATAAAAATAAACAATTATTTCTCTAAATATACAGCTATAGTACAAAGAGTTCAACTTACAGAAAACTACAGAATACAATCACCAGTATCTATCTATGGAAACACAATTACCACACTAACCAAAGGGAAAATACTAAAGGTTGGGGAAAGAACAAGATGTGATAGACTTCAAAAGTGACTCTGAAACATTTACAGTGTGGTTTTCTAAAATCTCTTGATCAATGGCTACAAGTCAATATAGAATGCAATGGTCTCATAAGAACCTAAGTAGAAAATGTGACTAATTCCTGGACAGCATCATAATATATGTACAAGTAAAAAATTACAAATATAACTAGCAATTTTCTATGCATTGTATGTAACTCTTCAATTTATGTAAATTTATAAATAAAATCAAGTTAAAGAGATGGGATTACATGTTTTCATTTTAATATTGAAGATTCAATTTTATCAAATAGTTGAAAATTACAAAATCAAGGAATAAATCATAGAAATAAAGTATTTGAAAGGAATTAAATTTAAATTCAAAATCAATAGTAAGCAATAGGGTTTGGAAGGAATTAAAAATTATAGATAAAAATTAGGACTTTTAACTCCACCTATGGTCCCACAACTCGTACCAAGCGTAGGTAAAGTAGGAGGGTTGTGCTTGGTCCTCAACAATTGATGTAAGACTAGTCAAAACCCCATACATACAGGGATTACTCATGACAGATTATGTGGTGATACTAGGTTGCTACTCTAAGCCACGCGCTCTATAGCTTGAGTACATTGATCAATAAGATAGAGCCACTGCATTGACGTCTGAATGTAGTATTAAATGGGTAAGGGGACTTATATATTTATGACTGAATTGTTGCACACAAGAATTAGAAGGAGGGTAGATGTAAAAAGGACTGGGGATAGTATTTTATCATTAAAACTAATAGTAGGACCAGAAACTAACAATAGGTCACTTTGGTTAAACTTACAATAAGTGTTTCTAAAATAAGCATTTTAAAAAAATCACTTATTAAGAAACAAATCCTATCTGTTTCTTAAAAGAAAAATTAAGAAAGAAAACAATAACGATAAAATAGTAGAAATCTGCTATTATTGAAAAAAATCTCATTGCTTACACTGAGAGCCCGTCGGGATTCTCTCTCTATCCAAATGATGGCATGATCAGATGTTGCGTTGCAAGAAAGAACTAAATGCTCAAACCTCCCATCAACAGGTACTGCTGTCCTAACAACAGGTGGAAATCTTCCTATCCTGCAACCAGAAGATTCTGTAATCCTAATTATTGCTGCATACAAAGAACATTCTGCTCTTCTAAATTGATCGCTTGATCATTTAAGCATACATAAAGGTAGATTAAAGGAATCTTTTGAACGTAAATGCATGTATCAAAACATAGATACACTTAAGAAAACTTAAATGTTATTTCAATAATTCATATTCCAGAAACATGAGATATTAGTGTAAACGAGTACACTTACACATGCACTAAGAATAACTGTATTGAGTCTTGACTATCTACAGGGCATTTACAACATTCGATTGAAAAATTATCTCTTGATAAAATTTCTAACTGTAACCTTTGTTGTCTATACACACACACAACCTTCTTACAAAAAGTTGGTATTTACAACGAGCAGAAAAACTTACAAGCATTTACTGAAAAACAACACAAATTTTAAATTTTATAGAATGTTGTAAATACGTTATAAATATACATTTATATTATATTATGTTCAATTCTGTAGGAATGAAAAAAAATCAAAGGGAAAGTATGGTGAGAAATGGTGGTTTAATCCATAAATGTACTAGCTTCTTCACGTTTGAGTTGTCCTTGTATTGGAGTAGGTCTTTACAAACCCTAGGGCTTGGCACTTACTGTTGGTGGGAATCATAATATTTTAATACCAATTTGCAAAAAATCACGTGGTTTATAGGTGAACAGGATAGAAACAAGGTAAAATATGTGCTTGCAGCTGTGTAAAACTTTCCAGGGAAACCGAAGCATGTAGAATGTTAACTGAATGCTTTATTATGTAAATGAAATTAGTTATTCGGTTATGTAGATATTGTCTGTTAAGTTTTTTTTTTTTTTCCCTATACATAAACTCCTGTATCTTTCTTAAAGAAGAATACAAAAGAATGTTATTCAGTTATTTTCTCTTTTCCAATTACAATATGCCTCCTGAATAGAATTTAAAGGATAAAATCAACTCCCGTGATACAATAATCACTATTGACCTCCACAATTAGTTCACTCATTACTATGTTAGACCATGTTCAAATGAAGAGTATAGGATACATTTTTGTTAAAATGCATGATTTTGCTTTACATAGTGACCATAGTAAGGACAGTGAGAAGTCTTCCTTTAATAAGAGGAAGTTCAATAATATGTCATAGGTGAGACAAATAATTGAGAGCATCATACTTTACCTAAAGGGCTTTCTCTCCACAATGTGATAGAGCCGACCAGGTGCATACAGACGCCTTGGATCTCTAAGCTTCTTCTCCTCCAGTGTGCAGGTATCCTTTAAGCACATTATACACAATAAACAGGGCCAACTGCCAAGAAAGGATAACATTCCTTGTAACTCATTTTAACCGCAAGAGCTGAATTACACTATCCAATGTATATACATGAAAATTTGAGAAGGCTTATATTATTGTGGTCAGTATTATGAATTTATTATATCATGCATCATACAACAAGTCCCAAAAGCTCTAAATAAATACATTACAGGAGCAGGGATGTCATGAAGAAAATAAATATCCTAACTGGTTGGAATCAGACACAAATTCAGGAAGGAAAAACTGTTCTTCCTGCAAGAGAAGTGCTCAGCTGATGATCAATAGGTAACAAAATGATAATCAACAAGTGAAATGTTGAAAAAGCTGGTAGCTACTAGTTGAGGTTGAGACATGTTAAGGACTAACTTCCAAAGAGCTTAAACCAGCCAGATTTAAGCCCAAGAATGACTTCTATCTCTAACAAGCCCTTTCAGCTTGAAGCACAGATGAAGCATGCGCCCAATATATCTTGTGCTGAAACTCAGTTTAGTTACGCATTCTTGGCCTTGACACCATCTCAACTTTTCCCATTAGTTTAAACGCTGTAAGGTGTAGGCTAAGAATGATTTTGTATCTATCACAAAAGGCATTGCTCTAGCTTATCGTATGGAAAGATTCTTCCTCTCAAACTTCTAAATAAAGGAAATCCAAAGATGTAGGAGATCAGGTGTTCAATTCTCTGATTTGAATGAATAATTTTAACTTTGAATTATTCAACAACAATGCAACCACATTTGAATATCTTCACACCATTAGCGTTGCTGCTGACTATGTAAAAATTAGTCCTTGATGTTTTACATAAACATTAGGACAATCTAAATAACCTAATAGTGTCTTTGGATGAGAAAATTTTAGAGGGTAATTCCTTTTTATAGATAATTTGAAATGCTTAATAACAAAACATATTGTTTGGATAAGGAATTTTTAAAGAAATTGAAATTCAAGAAATATTTGAGTAATTTGATGACTTAAAATCATAGAACTTCAAATTTCACCTACAAATTAAGAATTTGAAAATTTTCAGACTCTTCTCTCTTACATGTATTATGTTTTTTCTCTTCAGTTCGACTATGGTCAAGGTCAAGGCGTAGACATTGATTGTCAACGGGGTTGTTTTTGGTTGAAATTGATTGAAGTTATTTCTTGGACGACGTTAATTTTTGAGACTATTTTCTTTTTGTAGATTTAAGGTAGGGTTTTCAAGGTGATGTCAATAGGGGTTATTCAAGTTGATATTATTAGAGTTATTTTTCAGTTGATATGGGCTATAATTATTTCTCAATCAACGTTATTGAAGATTTTCTTGGTTAATGTCAGCAGGGTTATTTTCTGATTGATGTCAAACATGTTTTTTTTTTTTATTGATGTTTAAAAGGGTTGTTTTTCAATCAATGTTATCAAAGTTCTTTTGGTCCAAAATTGGTTATGAATATTTTTTAATATATAGACTTGTGAAACATTCGACCAATCTTGACATTTAACTATTTTTCCCAATGTCATCCAAGAGAAATTTTTTAGCCGACATCGCTCGAAAATTTGGTCAAAACCTCACTTTGACCAAGATATAAAAAATAAACTTTGACCAATGTCAACATTGTGACTAACATCCATAAAAATATTAAAAGCTTTTGTTTTTTATGATAATTGAAATACTTTAAATAAAAAAAATTGAAATTCATTGAATTGTTTTATCCAAACAAAGCATTTGAAAAATGAATCAATTTGAATTAAAAGTAATTCAAATTCAATGTATTTAAATTTGCTAGAAATTGTGAAATTCTTTATCCAAACTCAATGTATGGGGAGGGAAAGGAGGAAAATAGGAGGATTTTGTTACCATAAAAGTGATTTGAAGACATCTTCTAGAGCGGCGGTTGTCCGGGGTAAAAAATCATCCTGGTTTGTCCAAGTAAAGTATAGAAAATTAGTGCACAAAACTAATAACTTAAATAAAAAGAATAATAAAATAAATATCCCAGTCGGAAGAACAATTATTATATTAATTATGTGGAGCACACATTCGTCTAATAGTTGAAATTTCTCAAAGCATTCTTTCATCAATCCTTCATCTCATTCTAATATTGTTCTGGATGAATATCAATTTCTTTCCTTTTCTCCAAAACAAGTTCTGTCAAACAAATTGTATGAGCACTCATTCCCAAATTAACAGTGCAAATTATTACTGCTTTGATCATTCAAAACCAGTATATCAGATAGACAGAGCACGTTCATCCTAACAATTAATACAGGTTCATCAATTATCTAGGATCTAGTTATACAAATATATATTCTAAACATGAACTAATTCTCAACACCTAGTCAAGGCAAGACATTTACCAATTGCTAGACAAGCAAATATAGATGTAATATAAAATCCATCAACACTTAACACCAGAAAGAAATCCAAGTGGACCTTCCTGTTATTACATGACCAAGAGAACCATTTTTACTTCAACCAATCTTAAAGTTGTCAAATGACCTTGTTTTTTTAGTACACCCTCTCTTTTATGTTTTATGTGTACAAACAAGAATCCAGAGGCTTCATTCAGAACCTAAATGAAACTGCAGATTTCATGCATATGATATCTGATAAAGATTAACAAATAATCTAGTCCTTTTAAACATGACTACAAGTAATCAGTCAAGTTGATGTAGTGTACTAAGTTCATAGCAAAGGGGATTATCCAACCTGAAGTACAACGGAATTGATCACATCTGCATATCTTACAGCCAAGTTGAGAGACATGCACCGAGGAGAAGCTATAGCAAAGCATCTTATCTTGCTTCTTGGTATACCCAATTTGTCTCGATTATGAATTGCAAGCATTGTTAACAATGCCACCACCCCAGCCCCTAGAGAATGCCCGGTAAATATTAACATATAAGTTGGATTTTCTGCCACTAGCTTCCTGAGAACCTCATATTCTGCGTCAAAAACCCATCCAGCTGCCTTCAACAACCCATTATGAACATAACCACCATGAAATTCTGCCTGTCCCAACTTGTTATCAAGCAAAACAACATAATCACTTTCCTTCCCTAAATTGAGTCCACTAACAGCCAGTATGATTTCAGCATGATCATGATCAAGGTATATCATGTATGGAGTAACAAAGCCTTGGTTATGGCCGTAGTCCTTCCGCAAGATAACCCAATCAGGATTAATGCCATAACCTCCTTGGGGAGCCCATTGAGGGTTACGAATATCATCTTCGTAGACAGCTAAGATTAGCCGACAGATCCGAGGCACAGGCTCAAATTCTTGTGCAGTAGCCAGCCCCCAATTTTCACTCTCATAGCCTGCAGTGTACAGACATTTTTTCCAAGCCCAACGAGCACAGGCCAGACAATAAACACACTCAAGGATAGGAAGCCCACAGATAAATGACATCAATGCCTATGTTTTATACATGTCAACAAATCTTACACAGCAAAAAAAATGATTCATATGCTGTCAAAACAATAATAGTTCATATAAACGACATCAATGCCTATCTTTAATGCATGTTCACAAATTTTACTTGGCAAAACAATAGTGTTCCCATAAATAATCTAAAACAAACAAGAAACTAAAACCTAAGTAACTAGGGTTTGGTCAGGTAGTGTGATCAACAGAATCAACTCTATGCATCATTCCTAAAATTTATACTGAAAGTTTGAGAGAGACTATTACTATACCTTCATAGATGAACAAAAATGGAAGTTATATACAAATCTAAGGTGAATTGAAGACACATATGAATAAACTAAAAATGGAAACTCCGTGTTGAATCAGAGCCCACAAACTGTTTTCAAGTGTACCCAGATTGGGAGAGTTGGGAAAATCCAACAAATTCAGTTTACAGAAAGCGTAAACTGAAAAATTGTTTCTGAAGGGGAAATAAAGCATTCGATGAATTTGGTTGGGGTGGGGATTGAAGGAGCTATTCAGTTTAGAGAAATGGATGAACGGGAAAACAAGGAAAGGAAAAACAGAGAAAAGAAGGATTTTAGGTGAGAGTGAGAGTGAGACAAACATGCCTGCCACTTAGTCAAAAACGTTGAAGGGTTGGTTTTGAGAATATACTCATTCCTATCATTCTTTTTCATATTTCTTCTTTTCGTTCTTGAGAAGTTCAAGTGAGTGTAGTTTTCATCAACACATTCTCTTGTTTGAAAAATGTAAAATAAGGAGAAATTTATCTGAAATTTACCTAATAAGTTTTAACTAATAAAAAATATTTTATATCCTCAATAGTGATTTGTCTAATCAATGAATATGATTTTAAATTATGTCATCGATATGAAAACTATATTTATAGACAATATATAATTATACTCCCACTTTATTTTAAATATGATAAAGAGGTGTTTGCTACAATGTAAATTTTTCGTAATTTAAAAATTAGGATCATCGGAAATTATTAAAATCGATTTAATTTGCCAAAAATATTTTCAAATATTTTTATGTAATTTTGTGGAATAATGTGATATCTTTACCATATATGTTTGTAAATGGTTTAATAATAACAACATTATACTTTTATTTATTTTAGTGAAAAAAAATCAACTTAAAAAATGTAATATTCTTTTCAGAACAATCCCGTGAGAAATTTGAAAAAAAAATATCGACAAGTTATAATTTTTTTTTTAACAGAAACCAAGCATATACAATAACATGATCAATTTATATTTTCGGAGACTAATATATTTTGTTGTACTAAAATATTTCTAAATAAAAAAAATGTTTCTAACATTTTATTACTATGTTAAAGAAGACAAACTTAACACTAAAAATCCACTTCAGAAAACTTGTTAATTAAGAAAATTAGTTAAATTGTTTAATTCTATTAATTTTGTTTATTTTTTAAATGCTCTTCACTAAAACTTGCAAATATAAAAAAATAGAATAGAATATCAATTTATTACAAAATATTTTTAGAACAATACAATTAAATAAAATAAAATTAGTTAAATTTTATTTATTAATAATTGGATAAAAAATTATTTATATATTAGTTATTAAGGTAGATTAGTAAGTTATCTCCGACCAAAAAAAAATCTTAACAAGATGACTTCCTAATAATGAGATAAAAATATATATATATATATATATATATATATATATATATATATATATAACACGATAAAAAACAATTTATAATATAAAAAAAATATAAGACATAATGGGGAGGACCCTACCCTTTGGAATTGAACCAATCTTTCTTATGTCACTGGATTAATTTTTTGCTGATAATAAATCCGAATTAAAATAGTTTAATGAATATGTGTTGCATCCTATAGTTGTATTATTTTATTCATTGACATGATGTGACAATACCATAATTTTCTATTAGATATGCATGTAACAATGATGAATATTTAATAAATACATTATATAACTCCATGCAGCACAAGTATGCAGTGTCCTCAAAGAGCTACGTTAATCACAATTAGTTAATATATTTCTAATTTTGTTTAAATATTCGAATAAATGATAACACAAAATTTCAAGATTAACTAAATTTTTTTTTCAATATTTGTCGTGGTATTATAAAACGAATCATTGATAGAAGTTTCCTTTTTGAAATGAATTAGCACATTCGTCTTGTATAAAATATCATTTTTAAATAATTTAGTTATACCACTTCGTATATTTTCTCTTTAATTATTTTTAAATTTTATTTAAAATTATTTATAATTGAGAAGGTGGTCACATCAAATAATTATGAAACTGAATTAGACTTAGAAAAAATAAAGATAAAACATTTAATTAAAATTCATAATAATTATTTTTTCTCTTTTAAAAAAAATATTACTATATTTTGTTTTAAATTTTATTAATTAAATTTTAAAAAATAATATCACAAACAAAATATTCTATGACTTATTTTTTTAAATAAGTTTTAAGATATAATTATCAAAATATTTGAAGAAAATATTATAATATACTCAACTATTTTAACAATGTTGATATATTCGGATATCAACTTTAGATACATAAGAACTATTTTGAAATATTTAAAATAATATCTCATAGATTATAGTTAGTTATGTATCATATTTCTGTATAAAGAGATTTGATATATTTTCTACTTCATTATATTATATATTCTAATACTCACGTTTTCACCTACTAACTTAAACATCATAGAATCTTTTGTAAGTATCCTCATTTGCCCTTCATTTGTTCGCCGAATCTAAAGGAGTTTGGATATCTTCCTAATTAACTTAACAATATTTAATGCCTACCATGGAAGAGGTAAAATTCATCCCATGCCACAATTACTTGGAGATTAGATAGTAAAATAACTATTATCTCACATACACATCATGGATTCAATCGTAGTCGTTAAATGTCTCAAAGCTCACATGATCGAGCTGGAACAACATACTAAAAATGTCAGGCACCATAACATCTCTTCAAAAAAAAGTTGATCGATATTGAAAATGGCAACAAGAGGAATTAAAGGTTCTGCGTGACCAAATCAATGAGATTATTAAGAAGTATTGAAGCAAATGAAAACAATATCAAATGAAGGCGAAGTCGTAGCCATGGTAGAATCTCATTCTCATTTCAAGCATTCTAAGTCAAAAAATCTAATGCTGAGAGAGAAATTAAGGAATAAAAGAAAACAAAGAAAGAAAAAGAGTTGGAGTATGAGTCTGGTGTGTCAACTTGAGTTCCGGCACAAATGTGTGCAAAATATGAGCATCCATTTGTGTCGGTATACTTGACGAGCCTCTCTCCCAAAACGCCTCTCGTCGACTCTTAAATTGGGATCTCAGACCCAAAGGAGTATATTTGAGCTTACTTTATTGAAGTATAATTGGATAAGGATTCCTTCAAATGTCGAATTTTTCCCCAACTACACTTAAAGTCATCATGCTCCAATGGTATTATGAACTCCCAAAGAGATTCGTTGCCAACTTTGGTGACTTAGCGAGCAAGCTAAAAGTTCGGTTTGCCACAAGCTGACTTCATACGACTAACTCAACAACCTTTGAAAGCATTAAATAAAAGAAAAAGGAGTCATTGTGAAAGTTCTTAGAGTTTAGAACTAGTTGTCGCAGTGCATGCTATGATGATCGGTCTCTTGATTCGACCATTCTTGGAGAGCTTATATTTCCACAGGCCTAAAGGCATGAATAAGTTGAGAAACGAGCCTCGAATTACATCTAATTAGAAAAAATATCGAGCTTCATCGAAAAAGAGAAGAATAACTTGACTAAGTGATGGAGAAAAATCATTCTAAATGTGTGTGAAGGGTCTGATATGATAATTATACTTGGGAACTAAGACAATGGTCGCGTGAATACTTAGAGCAAGTTATTATTGACCCATCGTGAAAGTCAATGCTAAACTATTCATTCAAAAATGTGAAGCATACCAACCACACAACCCTCTATATACAATCACACCAGAAGAATTGCATAATATCATTACATTGACCCTTCATGACGTAGGAAATGGACATTCTTGGACCTTTCTCATGATCAAAGGACAACTCAAGTTCCTTATAGTAGTCATAAATTATTTCATGAAATGGATCAAAACTAAGCCATTAACAACAATAATAGCTTAACAAGTATAAAAATTTATGTTGAAAAACATAATATGCTGACATGACCTCCCATAAACCATAGTAATAGATAATGGAAGGCAATTGATCGATAAAAAGTTTGAACAACTCTTACAATAATTCGATGTTAAGCACAAAGTAACATTGATCGAACACCCGCAAACAAATTATCAAGCTGAAGCAGTAGATAAGGTTATCCTTAACGAGTTAAAGAAAAAGCTCGAACAAGCAAAAGGGTTATGGACTAAGGAAATAGTCGAAATATTGTGGGGTTACCACTGCACTCCCAATCATTTAAACAAGAAATAACCTTCATACTCATACATGGTACTGAGGTTATGATACCTGTCGAGGTTAGAGAAGAATTTTAGACGACAAATCTTTAATGAAACCCAAAATGAAGAGGAACTCCATGGCAATCTTGACTTAATTCACAAAGTGTGAGAAAAAGTCAAAGTAAAGGCAAGAATAACCAAAATAAGAGCCACGAGGAGGTACATTTCAAAAGTCTGACCTCGAGAATTTCAAAAAGGAGATTTAATATGAATGAAAGCCGGAGAAACTCGACAAAAGAAAAATGAAGGAAAATTGACACCCAATTGGGATAAGTCGTTCATAATTTTCGAATCTTTAACTAATGGTGTGTACAAGATATAGAATGACTTGATACCTAAGACATAGAATAACTTGATACCTTAGACATATAATTACCTGATACCTTAGATATATAATGTCACTCACTTGAAATCATATTACATCTGACAATAGATGTTAAAGACACAAACTATATTACATATCATGACGACTTATTTAGGTCACTTGACATATATCATTACAACCTATTGAGATTAGGGGTATCAAAATAAGCTTAGCCTAATGGGTCATCCTAAAGGCCTAAGAAATAGGTCAAGTTAGACAAAAAAATTTGTGGCCTAAATTGAATCAGACATATTTTGACTCGGCCTATTTAGGTCATGGTCTACAGGTCTTAGGTTAGACTAACCCATTATAGGTTAGTCCATTTTATAGAATAATAATTATTTTTAAATAAAAATAAAAGTTATATTATTTTATTAAAATATATATGTATTATAAATTAACTTGAGAAGGAATTTACTTATTCTAAGAGTAATATCTGAATAAATCTCTAACAACCACTTATTCCAAATAGGTTTGTTAAAATATACTATGTTTGATGGCCTGTCCAAGAAATAGGTTAGACTAGACAACAAATATTATAACCTAAATTGAATTAAGCTTATTTAAGCCATTGTCTATATGAACTTAGGTCAAGTTAAACAAGTAGATTTATGGGTTAACTCGTTGT